ATTCGGGAGAGAAGCCCTACCAGTGCCAGCTCTGTCTCCTTCGCTTCTCACAATCGGGTAATCTTAACAGACATATGAGAATTCATACGTAAGATATTGTTTTATATTCAAAATTACAATTATTTCACTAATTCATTGTCAAGCATATGCTCTATTACTCTATTACTTAATATACAGTACTTTATGTCACATCTAGTATACATGTGGTAATACTTTTGTGATATTTTCAATTTAACCAATTAGATCATTGAACTTTTCAAATTCACATAACTTCAGTAAATTTACTAATACCTTTAATTTATATATTGTAATTCAGTGTTAAATACTGTATAACACTAGTACTTATAGTTTACTTAAACATATTTAAAGTATTACTAATAGAATATGTATTATTAATTTCTCATAAACTAAAGTTTGTTGTAAATTTAGTCATTTAGCAATTTACTTAATAATATTTATATCTGGAAACCGCAATTACAAAAGTATGATCAATTCTATGGGTCATTCAGATGAGTATTTACTACTGAATATTAATGCATTTTATTGAATATTAATGAAAATTTTGGTTTTTCATTAATACTCAATAGTACTACTCATCTGAATGACCCATAGAATTGATAATACTTTAGTGATTACGGTTTCCAGATTTATATCGATACAATACCTGTATAATATTATTAATATATGAGATGTAATAATATATGAGATATACTCTGTTAAATATAAAATATTATAAATACATATTTATTATTTATAAAACTTGTGAATTAGTTTTTTAGTTCACACAACTTATTTATTAGTGATTTAGAAAATTAAAAAAACAATATATTCACAGAAATTTAGATTTATTTATTCAATGACTTATTTTAGTTATGAATGAAACTCATAAAACAATTTTATTGTCCGGTATTTATAACAAAAGACATATTTCTGCTTTTCTAACAATTTTCAATGAAATAACTTTAGGCTTTTGTATGAATTAAAAGTTTAAATCATGGAAAGAGAGTCTTCAATTATTTTGTTAATAATTTCATTGAATTTTTTAACAAAATCATCAAAATTATCAACTTCAATGCTTAGAATATTTAAAATTTTATTAAAATATATATTTTTTGAATTTACTGGTCCAAACATGTTTAAAACTAATCTGATGTACGCGTGACGCAGTCTAAAAACCAACGCCCATCGTAGAGCCCTGCATCTGAATGACCCATAGAATTGATAATACTTTAGTGATTACGGTTTCCAGATTTATATCGATACAATACCTGTATATTATTAATATATGAGATGTAATAATATATGAGATATACTCTGTTAAATATAAAATATTATAAATACATATTTATTATTTAAAAAACTTGTGAATTAGGTTTTAGTTCACACAATTTATTTATTAGTGATTTAGAAAATTAAAAAAAACAATATATTCACAGAAATTTAGATTTATTTATTCAATGACTTATTTTAGTTATAAATGAAACTCATAAAACAATTTTATTGTCCGGTANAATGAAACTCATAAAACAATTTTATTGTCCGGTATTTATAACAAAAGACATATTTCTGCTTTTCTAACAATTTTCAATGAAATAACTTTAGGCTTTTGTATGAATTAAAAGTTTAAATCATGGAAAGTGTTGGGAATCCAGGGGTGCTTACAGACATCGGTGATGGAGATCCGTTGGTTTGGATTGGGTTCCAGTAGTTTGCGGATCAAGTCTTTGGCCAATTGGCTCAACTTTTTGTCGATAGTTTTCTGGAGAGTGTATTGTCTTTTGTTTTGCTTCTCGAGTAAAGTCTCTTTGGGATCGTCACCATTGAAGGGGTACTCGTAGTTCAAGATAATGAACAGACAGACACCTAAACACCAGACATCGCATTTGTAGGGATCGTAAGGCGTATGACTGACCACTTCGGGAGGCTATGAATATATAATAAGTTATAATAAATATATAAATTTACAATTATCACCCCTCCCCCTCCACCTTCATCGGTGTCAAACACTCAATGACTGAATGAATGCTTACTGAAAGTACATTGAACATTCACGTCTTACCTCATAACTAGGAGTTCCCACATATGATTTACTTTTGCGGATTTGGCCGGTTTTGGCGTCTTTGGGAACAAATCGACTGAAACCGAAGTCACAGACCTTTGCGTTATAGTTGGCGTCGAGTAATACGTTGTCTAACTTGAGATCCCTGTGCGCTATGTTGTGTCGGTGCAGGTATTTGATGGCACTGGAGATTTGGGCGAAGTATAGTTTGCCTTTCCATTCACATATCGGGCCCTTAGTGTCCACTTCATCGCCAATGCTTTTGTTTGGCATAAAATCCATAATAATATAGACCTTATGTTTGGTGCGAAACATGTCTGTTATAAGCAATGAATGTGTGTCACAAACAGTAAGACCTACACCAAGAAGTTGTATGTGTTATCATATATGCAAACCTTCGACGCGAATACAGTTGGGATGTTTGACGTTACGGATGATTGTCAGCTCTCTCTTGAGGTCGTCGTCCAGGTTCTTGTCATTGCTGTCGATGTGCACCACTTTGGCCGCAAACGTCACCTTATTCTTCGTAGTCTTGTAGACGTTTCCCTGTCCTCCAGAGTCGAGGGGCACAAACATACTGTACCCCCTCTTCTTGAGCACTTCGGCGCCTTCGCTCTTCTCCGGCTCCTTCACTGACGACATCTCCACTACTTCTTTGTCAATACAAGTGATCTAATCCTCTGATGTGTCACCGTTTAGAGCAGTTGTTAACATATATTGATTTGAATATAAATGTTGTCATATTTGAGACCAATTGCACGACATATGAGCCGTAAGTGTATTGTTGATTGAATGCAATCAATGTATTGAACAAATGGATTGTAATCTAATGAAAACACGAGTACTTTGTGACAGCATTTTAAGTGCAATTCAAACACAAACTTAAATTTAGTTTTTAAAACATAAATATAAATAAAAACCAATATTTTTGGTCTTAAAACACAGTATTTCATGACTTTTGATAACAGAATTAAAACAATTTTTACTGAAATATAACATAAAAAATAATAAAAACTTTTTTCTCGAATCAGTCTTTTATCTTGTGATCCATTGCTTCAATTGACTGACAATTTATGTGTTGGTTGCGGACCCAGTCTTTGATGATTTCTTCGTTTCTGCCGATGAGTCCGTCTTTGAGTCAGTCTTCGAGGGAGTCTTTGTTGCGTCCGAACCTGTCTTTGAACCGGTTTTCGACCCACTTTTCGATCCAATTTGCGATCCGGTCTTTGCTTCGGAGGCTTCTGTGGCGCCCGTCTTCGACCCACTCTTCGACCCCGTCTTCGCTTCTGATCCCAACTGCGACCCAGTCTTCGATCCCGTCTTCGCTTCGGAGGCATCTGTGGCGCCCGTCTTCGACCCACTCTTCGACCCCGTCTTCGCTTCTGATCCCATCTGCGAACCTGTTTTGGATCCGGTCTTCGATCCGCTCTTCACATCCGACGGTTGAATCTGTGACCCGGACTTTGAGCCGGTCTTTGATCCGCTCTTCTCTCCCATCGATGACCCCGTCTTTGAGTTGCTTTTTGAGTCGGTCTTCGAGCCAGAGATGGCGGAACCGGTGCGCGAAGAGATCATCGTTGAACCGGCAGCTGAGCCCATGTTAGACGAGCCCAGACTCGAGCCCATAGAGGAGCCGCCGACCGAAGAGCCGACAGCGCTCGAGCCGGTGGTGGACAGGGATGAGCCGTAACTGGAGTCAAGAGTGGATCCAATAGAACTCGAGCCGAATCCTGATTGAGCTTTGGATCCGGTCGACGACGACATCTTAGAGCCGGTCTTTGAGCCTGTCATCGAACCTGTCTTCGAGCCTGTCTTTGAGCCTCCGGTGGACGACCCCCCGGGAGGCCCTAATATTTTGGAGTCCGACTCATCGCCCACTTTGGAGCCCAACGACGACGGTGTGGGAGCCTCTGGTTCTGCTGCCGGCGCTTCTTCGGGCGGCGCTTCTGGCGGAGTGTCGGCCGCCTGTTCCTCCTCAGCGTTCTTCGAACCGCAACAACCCATTGATATATTGGTCGATGTCTTCACAGCTACCGTTCCTATGCAATGAAAACTCCTATTTTACAAGTCTTTCGGTTTTTACTTTGAGATCTTTGAACAACTGTTGACTCGATTTGAATTTAAATCACTTTTTATAGAATTGTCAACAAATCGCGTGAATTATTCACAAATCCATTGAAATATGATTTTATTTCTTCTTTATTACAGTTTACTCTCACTTTCAATACATAACATACAAATCAAATTGATTTAATCAATACAAACAATGTCTTAAAATGAAAGTAAGCGGACAGACATCTCAGATATACCTGGCCTCTCCATTCACGTGAGTGTGTTATCACCGGTAGTACTGAATTAACAACCAGTTGGATGTCTTTATTTTATTAAGTTATTGTCAATAACTTGTTAATGACTTTTACAATGTTTTATTAATTAAACTAAACTTATAATCATTTCTAATTGTATTTTAAGCCCTGATTTGTATGTAATTACTAATTAGCATAAGTAGCAAATTGCTTCCAATATACAGTAATTAGTAATTACTATACATGTAATTAATGCTGCAAATGAAACAGATTTTTATTTTACAAAAACAATAAGCTTTTCAAAGCATTTGTTAAATATTTTAAAGTATTATCACTGATTATAACAAATTCTTGAGTGTTTAGTCGGCAGTAAATTATTAATTTCTTTTTTATTCGTTTTAAATCATTTTAACCGTAAAAAGATTAATTGATGGCAAAAAGTGATTACAATCAAATACACTAATGTACACTAATGTTATTTAATATGAATACTTGTGCTGTGTCTGTATGAGTGAAGCAATATTGTAGTTAATAAATGAGTTTATTGAATGAGAAGTTATAATAGTCGTAACATCAATGAAAGCACAACCACTTCTCCCTCTCTATTCCCTGCAATACAACGCTATGCTCTCAATGCTCTCTATAAACGACTTCCTTATTAATATCAATTTAGTTAACATTGAATTCATAATCAAATGACTCACGCTCTGGTAGTATATGATTATAATCAAGTGATAGCCAATAGAAAGACTCAACTAATTTAAAAGCATATATTTTAATAGAGTTTTGTCTGTTTGGAGTCTATTTCGGAGTTATCCGTCGATACGATTACATCGAAACGATTGCAGTGAATTCGCCGCAGAGTTCTAAGTACTAGCGCCGCAGGAGTGTATGTCCACTACTAATACTCCTGCAGCCCTGGTGCTTCTGACTCCAACGGCCAGACACACCGCCCCACCACTACACATCACCAACAGGTATATTCCCATTGTGGACTGTCTCATTTTATTCATATTCATTATTCTGTGGTATAGTTTGTATGACATACTGTATTTGTCAGAGTAATCAAACTTTTCTATGTGTTTAAGGTATTGTAATTAGTAGGTATACTTTAATACAATTTATAACTGTAGATATTTTAATCAACAATTCTATGTTTAAATGTTTTTTGTTACTGTTGTTGTAAAGTTTGTTATAATTAATGTTTTTGTAATATTAATACCAAAGTTTTAATTTAAGAATAAAATTTAATAAAACAAATCTGAGTGCTAAATAAAAATTATATTTGTGATTATTTAAGGAATATCCAAGATATAAATTGCTATGATTACGGTAAAATGAAAGTGTAATAACAAGTAAAGATTACTGTAATTGACGTGAAGGTAACTTTTTAAACTATTAAAAATGAAATGTGCGGTTACTGTATACTGTACATATGACACATCAGATAAATGCATTTAAATGTTCAAGTAGAGTCAATTGGCTAATATATTATGAACACATAGTAATTAATGTTAAGAATACAGAATATGGAGATAACCCAGGGTGTGATGACTGGCCTGAATGTCATATAGTACTGTACTGTTAGAGTGTTTGACTAACACCTGAAAAGACACTTTCATTCACTACTCATTGAGTGTTGAATTGTTTTGCAGTTCAGTCACACTTTGTTTACATTGACTCTCACTGTCTGTGTGTTTGTGCGACCACTGCAGCCATACATCCAATTGTTTGTAACTTATATTCAATTCATTGAATCATATTTAACACAATTATTGTTATTATTATCTCAATAAAGGAGTAATTGGTTTGTTATTACATTTATTCACATTATATTAATACATAAATTAATGTATTGATTGTAAAGTGAAATGTCAACAAATGGTGAGACAATTGAATGAGTTTTGGGTTTCATTAAGATTTCATTTGATTAGACATGAATGAAGATATGATTGGCGTGAGACCTCGAGGTCTCAATAGTCTTAAGCAATACACCACTAATAGTGACCAACAGATGACCAGTCCATCCATTTGCGATCCTTTCGATATAAACAGCTCTGAATTCAATTGTGATCTCTATTTGAATAAAGTATTGATTTGTTTTGCATTTGATTATGAATTGACATCTAATTATCATTTATGGATCAGTTGTTAAAGGAGAGCACATTATCTGAATTGATGGAAACTGAACAAGGTCTCTACAAACAGATCCAGTCATTGGACAGTGAGATGCAGACATTGGTCTATGAGAACTACAATAAGTTCATCAGCGCTACAGAAACCATACAAAAAGTGAGACAAATATCACTTCTGGTGTCACATCTCTTACTAAACATATCTCTTCTTCAGATGAGTTCACACTTCGATAAAATGGAAGAAGAGTTGACTCTATTGTCAACAAATATGGAGGGAATCACCAGAAGTAGTGAACAGATATCAGACAATTTGAAGGGCAGAAGACATGACTTATCAAAGTTGGCGAACACTCACGAAGTGCTGACAAAACTTCAATTCCTGTTTGAATTGTCACCAAAAATGCGCGAATCTATTGAACAAAACCAATACAACGAAGCCGTGAAATACTACTTGAGAGCTGAGAGGACTTTAGGCCAGTATTTGCACTTCCCTTCCATTTCAGCCATCAATGAGGAATGTCTTCAGATTGTCGCTCAACTCAAACAAAAGCTATACCAACAGCTCTCCAACAGAGAGGTATTTATATCTGAATTTCATTTGAATTAATGATTAAATTTATTTTCCATTTCATTGCCATCGAAGGCATCTCCCAATCAATTGAACGAAAGCATAGAACTGTTACTCAAATTGAAGGAACCGACAGAAAAACTGTGTGAAGAATACCTATCGATGTAAGTCTCCTTTGCCTAAGACTTTGTTGTTTCATATATTCTAATAATCACTTCATCTGAAGGGCTGACAAGAGACTTGAAAGCAATTTTTCTGAATTATATTATCAAAACGATTTGGCCAACAAATCACTGAATTCCACTTCAGATGAATCTCAATCATTAGTGGTAACAGTACTGAACACTATTATCCTTTTTATCACTTATTAAGTCTTTTACATTAATTTTTGTAAATTCAGGACATTCTTGAATACATAGACATTGCGTGCAATGGATTTCTGAGCAATTTATCGCTTTCTATAACATTCTTTTCGGATATTTTTCTGCAAAAGTCTTTCAGTAAAGCATCAAATGTTGAATCAAATGATAGGATAAGGAAAACACTGCAAGAATTTGTTGATAAAAATATGAATAAATTTTTTGATACAATACTGACACGCGTTCAGTCGGAAAAGAAGTCCATAAACGACACGATTTTGTTTGTCAGAGCTCTCGATAGGCTTTATAAACGACTGTTAAGTCTGAACCGAACGTATGAATTGAATGACTTCTCAGTGAAAGCCATGCAAATCGTAGAGAAGGCCAGTGAAGACCAGTGCCAACACTTCTTAAGTTATCTTAAGAACAGATATCAAGAAGAGTTGACAAATATAAGACATTCCATTCTAAGCACATCATCACAAGCGGTGTCCACATCGAGGTCATCACAGACTACATCCCCGGCAGTCATTGTTGAGAAGCAAACGTTAACTGATTTGCTCATAACATTGCAGACATCCATCAGTGAACTAATCAAATCGGTTGTGGCGGCACTCATGCCATTCACAGACCCTGAAGTGACATTTACAGGCAAAACACAATTCCAGCAAAAATTTAGTATTCAATTTGTTCGCGAAGTGGTTGTCATCGGTTTTATAAGACATATCCTTTCGGTTTCATTGGATTACGAAAAGAATTATTCGACGGCGACGTCCCCTCCCTCTCAGCTTATATTACTTTTGTCTCGACTTTGTCTAGATTTCGACACTTCTATTATCGGATATCTATTATCTTTCACTGAAGAACAGTTCAATATATACAGCAATAATAGTGATCCCAAAATCACTTCACTATCAGAGCTGTGCAAAGAGGCTCACTCGACGGCCCAACACTTACTCAACCATTTCGTACGATTAGAGGGCCATAACATCTCACAAATGATTAGGAAGAGTGTGGAGACCAGAGACTGGTTGAGTTCAGTGGAGCCCCGATCTGTTCGCTCAGTCATGAAGAGAGTGATCGAAGACATCGCACAAATCGATGCACAGGTCGGGCAGCTCTACGAAGAGGGACTCCGACTCGAGCGCAGCTCTGATTCCAGTAAAAGTCGGCGTACTTTTAGCGCTATAGGACTGGGAGGAAGGCATTCGGCAAACAAGTCATCCAATTGGAGCGCTTATGGCCCCAGGTTTGGTCGTTATGAATGATCTCCATTCACTTAACAGTAATTATCTCTTACGGTAACTCTTTGAACAGCACTTTCGACAACAGTTTGATGTCAAACATTCAAAAACTCTTCACTGAAAAGATTGAAATCTTTAGTTGCGTTGAGTTCTCTCGACTCTCAGCTCTGACGGGAATTATTAAAATCGGACTTAAAGTGAGTAATGAATTAAATATGAGATCAAACTAATTGTCCAAACCTATAGACTTTGATAGAATGCGTGCGATTGTGTACATTCAGTCGGTATGGCTTACAACAAATGCAAGTCGACTCCTATTATCTACAAACACACGTCTGGGCCTATGCTTCCGATGAGAAGTACTTTCATATCATTTGAATGCTTACGATAATTGTAAATCATATATTCTATGTTTAGTTTGGTTTACGTATTGATAGACGAAGTCTTATTAAGTGCTGTCCATCGATGTATTGATCCAATTATGATGGAAATGAGTGTAAGCTTTATCTCAATAAAAGCATTCAATTTACTGTATTTGTAAAATTTAAAGCCTAAGAATTTTAAAAATGGTTATGTTTTACAGGTGGTCGAGAAAATATGCGATGGTTTATAAGGGCTCAAAGTGTAAAGTAATAAAATTGCAATTTTTATCAAATAAAAAATATAATAATTTTGTTCAAATGGGTCACCAATTGATTCACTAAAGTATTCCAACATTTGCTTCCGTTAAAAGTGACAGAAATCCTGAGGACTGGTTATTGGCTCGAGATTTCTTTCTTTCAAGAATGCATTCAATCGTGTTTTCTGAGGCTTTTCTTCGCTGTTAACGGCTTTGAAATAATTTGAGATCTTTTTCGTGGGTTTACTCTCGACTACCGGTTCCTCGTCTTCCGATTCTTCCCTTAATTTATAGAATAAAATGTAAATTATAGGCAAATGTAACCATTTTTCCAAACCATTGACAATCGATGGCTTTGTCATCCAATATGTTCTTAATTGTGGACCAACTGAACCGTACAAATGTTGTGTATCCAAAGATTGGATCCAAGTTCTTGGACAAAAAACTCTTAGTCTTTGGATCTGAAATGTTTGTCAGGATTACTAAAGGAGTGAATAGATGTTCGTGAAGACTAACCACTCGGATATCCGGAACCATAATCTTCTTTAGAGAAGTGAAGGTTGGGTTCAATAAACTTCCAGTCGTTGACAACTCTGTCGCGAATGACTTTCGCACAAACACTGGCGGCGCTCACTATCGGGAACAGAGAGTCCGCTTTGTTGGACACTTTGATGGTCAGGTCGGGGAACAGGTGCTTAAGTTTAGCCTCATATTTGTCTGCGGGCCCCACGGTATCCAAAAAGACTTTCTTAATTTTGACGCCATTTTGTTGGGCGCGAGTGATCAGAGCGATGGCCGTGTCGTGAGATAATTGATTCAAATTGTATTTCGACCTAAAGTTGGCACAAATGTTATGGCATTTGATGCAAACATTTCAATACAAACCGTTTGAACATTGAATTACTTATAGTGACCGGCGATAAGACAGTCGCCAGGAATCCGATCTTTTTGTATTCATTTTCGCCGATCTTTGAGAAGATCTCTTCTCTCTTCTCTTCAGTCAATGTCTTGGAATCTGTGACCAAAACATGACAAACAGTCCATTGAGTGACAAAATGAGCTCAAATTGCTGTCATAATACCCGCAAAATCTAATTTCTTAAGAAGTGATTCTTCAGATAATGGAAAGAAAGCCAAACTATAGACCATTGGACCTGAAGATGAATACAATGATCATAAATGGTGTCACAGTTGTCTCGATAATCACCCAAAACAGGTCCCCTCCCGGCCTCATCGATGCCCGCAATGCAGTCCTCCCGAAGTGCTATCGGAGGTATCGTTGATTCAAATGTCTTATCATTAATGGGATGATCAATGAATGCATTCAAGTCTATGGACGAAGACATAGTAGATGTGTTTGAGTGATGTTTTGTTGTGAGCGCCAAACCATACCATCAGTTGTCACGTGTTTTGCATTGTATGACAACACAAGACATACATAAATAAGGACTGAAATGCAAAATATCTTTAAAACTTTAAACCCAAACAAAAAGTGATCACAAATTATCTCAAGATTTGCAAACAACACATCCCATGCAATCAACTCTAAGTTTTTTTCTATATAAATAGCGATAACATACTCTTCGCCACTAATTAAGGGTTCAATTTAAGGCCTTCAATGAGATAACACTGTAAAAAGTATCACAGAATCTACAGAATCACCAAAAAATCATTTACAAAACAAATACTTTTAGGTTTCGAATATCTAATCGATTTTCATAAATAGATGAAAACAATTGAATATTTTATTTATTAAATATAAAAATCAAAATTTGATGAAACATTTGCCGTTAGTATTGAGAAGAATACAAATTTCTTTATCGGAATGAATGCAACGACTGATGGCTTCAGACAACTGAGTGTTTCGTTTGTGAGAATCGCTGAAAATAACGAGTGATTTGACACTACTTTGAAGATCACAGTAATCGTAGAAAACATCTAATTTGGTGTCCAATCGCAGCAACGACTGATGGCTTCAGACAAATGAGTGCTTCGTTTGTGAGAATCACTGAAAATAACGAGTGATTTGACACTACTTTGAAGATCACAGTAATCGTAGAAAACATCTAATTTGGTGTCCAATCGCTGTAAGTAAGCACTGATTGGCATTGAATGCCTGTCAGGGAAGTAGTGGTCGGCTTTGGAGAGCACCCGATCCCCGAACTCCCGGCCAATACTTAGTTTCAGTTTCACTAACTTCATGGTTGCCATCGCGTCCTCAACCGAGTCGTGGCCTTTATTTCCTACATTTGTTTGGATCTCAATATTGAGAAACTTTTTACTCAAGAACTTAAGGGACGACTTGAATGCTCTGAGGCCTGACGTGTTGTATATAACACTCGTATCGATAACATAGGGGTGAATGAGATGCAACGCCTGTAAATCAGAATTCAATGATTGGCCGCAAAGAATGGCGTCTTCGGGAAGCAGTCGATCCAACTCTTTGTGCACGTCTTCCAGAGTGACATCAATCGGATCCAACATCTTCTTAGTTATTCCGCTATATTTCGTCAAATAGTTTTTGATACTATTCTTGGGTTTAACTAAAGTGTCAAAAACGACACAACACTTCTCGTCGACCACTGAAATGCGGGTCACTTCCAGTCTGTCGGCTGTCGTCAAACACATCTCGCAGTCCATCGCAAACATCGGCGACCCGTCGCTCACCGGACAGTACTTCGACTTTGAGGTCGAAAAGTCTTTACAACTCTTATCGGAAACCATGGGATATTTCTCGACCGCCAACTGAAGAGTCGACAGCAATAACTCAGTTCTCGAGACCTTCTCTTCAGTCGATATCTCTATTGGATTGTCTTTGGCCTCAAATTTCGCCTTTTTATGCATTTTCTCCGTTTGTCTGTTACTTAACCTCACATTCAATAAGCAGTTAATCCAATCGTCTTTCGCATCAAATTTGACACAATATTTGAAATCTTTTTCGTCAAAGAGTTCTTCACTGGACTCGAAGTCCATCACAAAAATGGATACTTTTGTGGCTTTCGTTGGTTTAAAGACTTTACACCAATTGGGAGGACATGAGAGTCGGGGCGGCGGCAGAAGTGTCGCCAAAACCATGCATTGGATGTCTTCGACGGACAGACATTCAGACGATTCAGTCGTCGATTCGTTCACTAAATACTGGTTTTCGACGAAAATCTTCGGCCTTTCGGTCGCCAAACGGATCGACAGTTTTTTCCTCAATTCAGACATTTGTTTGAAACCAGAGGTGAAGACATCGTTGTTGTGGTCACTCGTGTCCACAGCATTGTCTTCGCGTTGGATCTGCTTTTGATTATCGATTAAATCAATAAATGCTTTGATTTTTCTCTTCTTGTTATCAATTTTATGCAACTTTTGTGTCGAAAATGCATTCATTTCTAAGCAATTAATGACTAAACACTTGATTAGCACTCAATTAATATTCAATCACTGATTCAGTCATTCACTCAACATTTGATTACACAATAAATTCACTAATTATTCACTCAATGAATGCAAAACAAGTGAAAAACGATTGAAAAGATTGTGTGAAATGTAAACACGTTTTGAAATGCACTCAATATTAACGTCAAGTTTAGACTACAATTAAAATTGAATTGAGAGATAATTTACGCGATAATGGTGTAAATGAAGATTAAATGAACATTTATTGTATGTTTATATGGAAATGAAAGCAATTAAAAGCAAATCAAATCAAGTTTTGCATCATTTGTGAGTCATTGTTGTCATTTTGTTCATAAATGGCATTCAGTGACGAAATGTTTACTATTTTCGTAATGTTTTTGTTATGAAAGTGTCGTTCAATGGTCTAAACACTGCTCAATGCTATCAATCAATGAATTCATACGAAACCCAACACTGAATCCAATTAACGATACAATTGTTCAATGAATTGATAGACTATTGAGGAATGGCGTCCATCGAGAAGTTAGTGAAGGCTTTCGAGGCCTTGAAAGTGATCCAAACGCCGATCGACAGACCAGATGAGGCACTCGTGTCCACCCGTTTCATGTACTCATCACCACTTCATTATCTATATATTCCTCTAATTATCTCTTATTGTCCATAATTATAGCCGAAGAGAGACCTCAGTGACCAAAAAGGACAAAACAGTTCACAGCTTACGATAATTGTAAATCATATATTCTATGTTTAGTTTGGTTTACGTATTGATAGACGAAGTCTTATTAAGTGCTGTCCATCGATGTATTGATCCAATTATGATGGAAATGAGTGTAAGCTTTATTGAGATAAAAGCATTCAATTTATTGTATTTGTAAAATGTAAAGCCTAAGAATTTTAAAAATGGTTATGTTTTACAGGTGGTCGAGAAAATATGCGATGGTTTATAAGGGCTCAAAGTGTAAAGTAATAAAATTGCAATTTTTATAAAATAAAAAATATAATAATTCTGTTCCAATGGGTCACCAATTGATTCACTAAAGTATTCCAACATTTGCTTCCGTTGTTACAAATCCTGAGGACTGGTTATTGGCTCGAGATTTCTTTCTTTCAAGAATGCATTCAATCGTGTTTTCTGAGGCTTTTCTTCTCTGTTAACGGCTCTGAAATAATTTGAGATCTTTTTCGTGGGTTTACTCTCGACTACCGGTTCCTCGTCTTCCGATTCTTCCCTTAATTTATAGAATAAAATGTCAATTATAGGCAAATGTAACCATTTTTCCAAACCATTGACAATCGATGGCTTTGTCATCCAATATGTTCTTAATTGTGGACCAACTGAACCGTACAAATGTTGTGTATCCAAAGGTTGGATCCAAATTCTTGGACAAAAAACTCTTAGTCTTTGGATCTGAAATGTTTGTCAGGATTACTAAAGGAGTGAATAGATGTTCGTGAAGACTAACCACTCGGATATCCGGAACCATAATCTTCTTTAGAGAAGTGAAGGTTGGGTTCAATAAACTTCCAGTCGTTGACAACTCTGTCGC